TGATGATAAAAAGCTGGCTATGAGTTGCTTGATTCTTACCCTGGGAGTCTCGATTTACGGAGACTCTGATGGAAGGAGGTACGCCGCTGACCAAATAATATCTCGTCATTCTCGTTTTGGGTCGTCCCCCGGATAACCAACCGCTCATTGTTAGATGTGGGTAAGCGCGTTGGGGACGCGACGACTAAGAAGGTATAGCAGTTATGGCTGCCCATGCTCCTCAGAGCTGTTTTCCCTGGCTTACATTTGTAGCCAAAAATTCTCTGACTGTACCAGGCGGGATGGTGGGACTGCCACACATCTCTGAAGAGTTGGTGCAGATTGTGCTCTGGCTAGATTTGTCTCCTGGTATTGTGGCAGAGACGGCATCGGTTGAAATAATTTTTTTTTTTTGATCGCACTCGCCGAGATTCAGGGTGAATTGACACCTAGGTCCCTTCCCCCTTGGATAAGAGTGTCGTCCGTAACCAGGATACCCAGCTGCAAGACTGTCATCACCATTCTATATACAGCTCGTTAAACTTCCAAAGCTCAACTACACCTTTCTCGAGATGCTCTGGCCTATAATAGCCACACTTATTTAATTCTGTTGTAGGTAGCCTCGATTTTATGTCAACGCCACCTAGCGGATTTTACTGAACTAAAGTGAAAAGCTGGCGTATTTTTGCAAAACTTTGAGCTCATTTATTGCTATTGTTATTAAATTTTTTACGATAAAAACTATACTAAAACCATCTAGGAAGTATCGTGAATCAGTGTGCAAAATTTCAACAAAATCGGTTCAGTAGTTTTCGTGGTTAGCGATTACAACGGTTTTAGCGTTCTTGCTTTATATATTAGTAAGATATATAGTTTAATTTTTAGTATAATATTGTTAATCATTTTTTACAATTCTATTTCCAAAATCCGAATATATATTGGGTCATAAAAGGAGCCATTTAAAGTCGAAGAAGGGGCTTAAAGGGTGCAAGTCGGGCTTGATTTTCGTAGACTATTGAGTTATTGGGCAAATTTAACGAAGATATATTTTGATTTTTTCCTTATTTTTTTTGGGGGGGGGGAGGGGCTCTCTTTGCGTTTTTGTAGGGATTTTCAAGGAGTCCTATTTTTTTTTTGTTAAATAAATATACTTGAAGGTAGTAGACCAATAATGTTACACTTAATAACACTTAAATTACTGTATTTAAGAACAGAAATAAAGAGTAATCAAGATAATGAAATCTCCTCTCTTGATAACTAGAGAGATTCTACAAAAGCGTGCGTGTGCGGGAATGATCATGTTCGTCTGTCTCACTATACGAAGTAAACATACGTATGAGACATTTTACGTGAACGGGAAAGCACAAAAAATAGATTTTGATTTTACATAGTGTAATCGATAGTACTCCTCGAAAAAACCATCCCCTGAGCGCCCGGTGGCTCGGTCGGCTAGGTCGTGGATCGGCACGCGGGAGACGGTGGTTCGATTCCCGGCCAGTGCGACTTTTTCGGGCAAGTACCTCTGTGATTTTTCACATGTGCTTTTTCACCACGCAATGCTGCTCGAGGAGGGTTCAGGCAACCTTTTCGCAGAAGAAATTGCCTAATTTCTCCCTACCCCCCTCCTTTCATGGGAGGCCTCCCATCCCTTTTCTTGTTCCTTTCCCAAGTGCTAAGTGCCCATAGTAAAAAATTAGCATTTTTCCTTCAGCACTGAAAATCATTATTTTTTTCAGTAAAAAATGAGAAAAATACACATTTAAGGTAAGGGTATTTTCTCAAGTGTTAGAGTACGCAGCCTAATGGTTAAAGCAGAAAGTTTATAAAAACACGCTTGCATCTTAGTACACAAGACAAAAAAAATTAAGTTTGGAATGCATTTGTATGTATTTGAGGTCGCTGATTACTAATCTGGAGTTAGATTTCTGAAAAAAAAAAAATAAATAAATAATAATGGCGTATTGAATGTGACGGCCATTTCTTCCGAAAATGTTAGAATTTCGAAATTTAAAAGATTTTATCATATTCTACGAATAATTTTCAGTTATAAACATATTTAAAAAAATTTTTTTAAGCCATAATCGTTGAGAAAATAATTCATGAAATTTTTATGTTACAATAGGCGTATCTGCATAGTTTGATCAGCTTAATTTATTTCTAGACAGGCTAAAAGTATTTATAATAGAAACTATTTATCTTGTTAACAGTTGTTGGGGTCGCCGATTACGCATCTAGTGTTACATTTTCAAAATACAAAATGGCAGATCAAATATGGCGACTATTTTTTTGAGAATAAAATATTTTCTAAGTATAAAAAATACCATTGTAGTCTACGCTAAGATCTTAAGTAAAAAACATATTAAAAAATTTTTTTTAAGTTACTTAGTTTTAGAAAACATTTAACCAAATTTTTATTTTAATGATACACATGATTACATAGTTCAATTAGCAAAACTTATTTCTAGACATTCTGAAAGTATTTATTATAGAAGCAATTTATCTTGTTAACAATTTTTGGGGTCACTGATTACGAATCTAGAGTTAGATTTTCAAAAAACAAAAAAGCCGTTTTAAAATTACTGTCATATTATGTAAAATTGTATCTATAAAATATTTTGAGAAGTTCCAAATGATATTTTATTTATGAGCGTGAGAGAAGTGAATCAGGCATATTTATTTCAAAAATAAAAGATTGCTATTATAACCCAATTAAACGAGTAGAAAAGTTTTTTGGTCTCTCGCTAAAAAAAGGAAATCAATGATTTTATTTATCTTCACAAATGAGGAAATATTAAAACGAATAAGCTCCACCGAAAAAAAGAAAGTACAATATTTTATAATCTTTATTAGAGTCTGATTTAGAGTGTGTTTTTGCACGAACTTTACCGTTTTCTAAACACGTTAGGATCTAAGTATTCGAAATAAATACTCAACAATCTTGGAGTATCCTTTAACCAATTAAACAGATTATTAGCTGTTAAAATCACGTTTGTCTACTGGAGACTAGCTCGTAAAGCACTGCGTTTCCCAGTGGCTTATAGACCGTCTAAGGGACCTTTCCTGTGGGCAGTAGAAGAAAAGTGCCTCTCTGAATTTGTTCGAGGCATGTGCGTTAGCACACACTATGCTCGGATAGGGTGATTGGGAAGACACAATAAAACACTATAAAATTAAACAGCATAAAAATAACAACGTTTAATATCACTCAAAGGCCAAGAAAAATAACAGTTAATATTCACAAAAATAGTAAAGGTAAAAATTATACAAAAGAAAAAAAATTATGTCTATAGTCTTAAAGCAATGAACTATTGAAATATATAAAAGCGAAGAATGTAGAAAGAAAAGAGTCAAGTTGAATAACACAATATGTAAACACGCACTGGCCTTGAGCTCGCAAGAGTGTTTGAAAGTTACACGAAATAAATGTGAAAATGAAAGCACCGATATAATATAACTGATTAAAATATTGATTAACGAAAAACGATTGTCTGTAGAAATGCACAATTACTGTCTGTAGAAATACACAAGAGTTTCACTGAGTCTTGCTGTTGATAATCACTGGTAGCTCGATGACATTAACTATTTGAGCTGGTCTGCAGATTATGCAGTGAGCAACTTAAACAAAGCACTAAGTGCACTTCACTGCACAACTGAGTTTTATCCACTTTATGGAGAGAGTTAATATGAAGATTTACACTAGAATTTAAGGTGATGTATGCACCTTTGAATGCTAGAGTTTGGCAACGTAAATTAAGAGAGTCTATCCTCGACGAGAGCTGAGTATAATCTGGCGCTTACAGTATACAAAGCTCGCCACGTGAATACGCACACACCCACTTGCAGCGCGCCAAGTCGACCAAGCACACACACACAGAGCATTGAGCCGACAGAGACTACAAGTGTACACAATGTACACAAAAGCCAGGCCTACTGTCGGTCGCTCTCATTTCCAACATTCCGCCCGCCGTCAGTCAACGGCTGACAACAGCCGTAGACCGGCAGTGGCACCAACTTCTGAATTGGTCTCCTGAGCGCGCCCACTGAGGTCTTGAAAGTCACCACTCTTACTAGGCCATCCTTGCCTGGGTGGACGTCGACGACTCTGGCCAGCGGCCACTTGCCTGGTGGTAGAGTCTCACTAGTTATAAGCACCAATGAGCCTGTCTTGATGTCATGAGCTGGAGTATGCCACTTGGAGATTAAGTTTAATTGAAGCAAATACTGTGTAGACCACTGCTTCCAAAACCTTTGTTTTTAAGCTTGGATCAGCTGCCAGCGAGTGACCCTTGCTGGAGGTAAATCGAACAAGCATGACTCTGGTGGTGAGTTTAGCACCGATCCGACTAAGAAGTGTCCTGGAGTGAGCGTGTCTAAATTCTCTGGATCATTGGTAAGTGGTTCTAGTGGTCTAGAGTTAAGTATTGCTTCGATTTGAGTGAGCAACGTCGTGATCTCTTCAAGCGTGTAAGGAGTCTCTCCCATAGTCCGATGGAGATGGTGTTTCATCGACTTCAGTACTGCCTCCCATTTTCCTTCCATGTGAGAAGCAGCTGGAGGGTTGAAGTGCCATGACGTTCCATCTTGGGCGAGCATGGCTGATAGATCAGAATTTTGACTGATTGCTTCTAAGTATTACTGTTAAAAAGCCCTGTCTGCACCAACGAAATTCGTCCCACAATCAGAATACAACTTAAATGGACGTCCCCAACGTGAGACAAATCGCCAATACGCTGACAAGAATCCTTCGGTAGAGTAATCTGTCACTGCTTCGAGATGCACAGCAGAGGTCGAAAAACACACGAACACACATATCTAACCCTTTTATGTTTTCGACCCTCTGCCGCGCCAAGATTTGAGATGTATTGGACCTGCGTAGTCGATACCTGTGTGAGCAAACGGTCTGGAGGGAGTCACCCTGGCCTCGGGTAACTGTCACATAAGTTGTTGTGCTCTTTGTGCCCAGTACCTGGCACATTTGACACGGTAGAGAATTCTGGATCAGATGGGGGCCCTTCCACCGATTATCCAAAACTCTTGATGAGTTTTGCTAAGAGTGAGCTGAGTTCTCCGTGTAGAGTTTGCCGATGAGCCTGATCAATAACCAAACTGGTGAATTGAGCTTGACGAGGAAGTAGGGCAGGATGTTTTGCATCAGGTCTGAGCTTGGCATTCACAAGTCTGTCTTCCACACGCAGTTTGCCAGCATCATCAGTATATGCCATCAACCGGTGGAAAACACGGCCCTTTGGGAGATAACCTGATTTGAGCATCTTGATTTCCTCCTTGAAACATTCCTGTTGAGTTAATCTGATAAGTAAGAGCTTAGCTTGAGTGATGAGTTCTGCAGTGACAGCTACGGATGATTCCTGGTGTGTGAGTAAGGCTTTGAACTTGGCACAAGCAAGTAAGAGGGTGGCTGTGATACGATAGAGTTTGTGCAATGTGGAGCTGGACTGAGTGAGCCTGAGTAGGAACTCCGAGTCCGAGACTGATGACACCAATGCTGACACCTGACGCGCCTCTGTCTCATCCTCCACCTCGACGTCACTCGGCTGCAGAGGCCAACCATCCTGGGGTTGTATCATCCACTCTGGTCCATGCCACCAGAGCCTATGCTTAATCAATTGTGAAGTGATAATCCCTCTCGAAGCACAGTCAGCAGGATTCTCCTTTCCAGGGACATGCCTCCAATGTGCTGCAGGGACCAGATCTTGAATCTCTGCAACTCGATTCCTGACGAAATCCTTCCACTTATTTGGATGAGAAGAAATCTAATAGAGTGTGACTGAAGAATCTGTCCATAAGTGAATGTTGCTGATATTTAGTGTGAGTTGGTCGGTGACATACTTAGTGAGTTTAGCCAGGATGAGAGCTGCTGTCAACTCCAATCTTGGTATTGATATCCTCTTCAGTGGTGATACTTTCGTCTTGGAGCAGACGAATGAGCTTGACGTGGCTGAGTCTGACTTTATCACCAGATAAATCACAGCACCCATAGCATCCTGAGACGCATCAGCAAAGCCATGGAGTTCCACTGCAGAAGGAGGATGTGCTCCAAGCCATCTAGGAACCGTCACTCCGGAGAGTTTGGCTAGATCATCTCGTATGTGTAGCCACCTCTGAGCGAGAGCATCTGGTATAGGCGTATCCCATGTAATTTTGAGTAGCCACAATTCCTGAATGATGAGTTTGGCTGCAATAATCACTGGAGCAACTATTCCAAGAGGATCGAAGATTTGAGATATTTCCGAAAGAATTGTTCTCTTCGTTGGAGTTTGACTGAGAGGTTTGAGTGTGCACTGAAAGGTGAGATTTTCTGAAAGTGGTTTCCAAACCATTCCAAGTACTTTAGCATCGCAGTCATCGAGAGAGAGTGCTGATTCTTCACTGGAGTTTGAGTAACTGAATCCTGGCGAGTTTGAGTGCCACTTAGCCAGGTGAAATCCGCCCGCCATGCACAGCTCCTTGAGTTGGAGGGCCTGCTCGTTCAACTCATTTGGAGTCTCAGCTCCACCAAAAATGTCGTCCACATATCTGCCGCTGGTGAGAATCCGGGCAGCCTGGGGGTAACGGTGCCCTCCATCCTTCACCAGCTGCAGCAGTGAGCGTGTAGCCAGAAATGGAGCAGGCCTCGTCCCGTAGGTCACTGTGGTGAGCTGGAAGTGAGCTTCCTCGTGAGTTTTGCTATGCCAGATGATTCGCTGAAGATCCCAATCGTCTGGATGAACCTTGATCTGACGATACATCTTGGAGATGTCCGCAGAGAAAGTCCATTTGAATGTGCGTAACCAGAACAGTATATCTGTTATGTTGGGCAGTAGATTAGGTCCCGTGTGAGTTATGCTGTTGAGTGAATGTCCAGAGAAAGTAAGGGCTGATCCATTGAAAACCACCCTGAGTTTGGCGTTGTCTCCATCTTCCTTCAATACACCGTGATAAGGCAGATAAAAATGAGGCTTGATGTTGAGCTCATCTGCAGGCACCGGCCGCATATGGCCAAGACTCAAATATTCATTCATGAAGTCTGTATAGAGCTTGTCGTACTTGTCGTCTGTTTTGAGCCTGGCCAATGTGCGATCGAAGCATTTACGAGCATGGTTGACTGAGTTGCCCAGCAGAAATGGAGATTGCTTTAGAGGAAGTTTCACCACGCATCTTCCGGTGCTATCCCGAGAGTGAGTTCGCACGAAGTTTACCTCACACTTCTGTTCCTCTGGTGTAAGCTGCGAGCTTGACTTTGAAGGGACCTCTTCTTGAATCCAGAAGTTTATGAGTAATTCCTGGAGTTTATCTTCTATTTTTGAAACAAAATGGTGAGTGTGACGATTAATCTTTGTAACAGGCTGGTTAACGCAACCCGAGAAAATCCAACCAAACAGTGTACGTTGAGCGATAGGTTCTGATAAAGAACCTCTAAGCAGATCTGAGGTGATTATAGCTGAATAGAAGTCAGTGCCAAGTAGTAAGTCTATGTCTTGTGGCAGATAGAAATGGGGGTCAGCTAACTCCAGAAACTCCATATGCAGCCACGATCTTGTCTTACATTGAAAAGATGGTAGTGGAGCTGTTACTCTAGGCAAGACGTGGAGCACCACATCGACGCTGGAGTCAGAATATAATGAAAACAATCTGATTTCTACTTTACCAAGTGCTTTACTGACTACGTTGCCTCCAATGCCCAGGATACAGATGTTGGACTTCGTGCGCGTCAGCTGCAGACGCTTCACAGCATCTTCCGAAATATATGATAATTCTGAACCTTGATCGATCAGAAGCCTAAGATGATAATGTGCAGCTGGAGCACGTACCTGGGCTACTGCTGTTGGCAACAAGATAGATGAATGACTAGATTTTTGGTTGGATGATGTGATCCTTGTTGAGTTTGACTTGATGTTGACTCTGGGATGAGTATTACTAGATGTGGATGAGTTATCTTGTCTCTTGGTTGACTGAGCATCAACCATCTCCAAGGCTTGGGCCCGCTCGATCAAAAACTCCTCCAAGGCTTCGAACGTCGGGAAGTCGGCTCTTGCAGGTGGCGATGTTTCCCACGCCTTTTTGGTGGGTCGATCCAATGCTCGGAGCAGCTCATCCACGAACAAGGCATCCAGCACCTCTTAAGCAGAGCCAAGGCCAGAAATAAGCCTGCAGAGCTTTCGACTCTCCGTTGCCAAATCCATCAGCGACCCAACGCTGCCAACACGCAACGGTGGAATGCGACTCTTGGCCTGCAGCAGCTGTGCGAGCACAAACAGCTTATTTTCATATCTCTCGAGCAGAGCATCCCAAGCAAGTTTGAAGGATTCAGCAGTAAGAGGAAGTCCCTCGATGAGCTTGGCTGGCTGGCCCGAGAGCAACGCTCGCAGGTAGTACAGGCGCTCCAAATCGGTGAGCCTCTCGTCTTCCATAATAATTGAGAAAAGATCTCGGAAACTCACCCATTCTGTGTAGTTGCCAGAGAAATGCGGAAGCTTAATCTCCAGGAGCTTGCCTCGTTGAGTGTGACTGACAGTAGTTAAAGCCGCTGTTGAGTTTGCCTGTGGATCCGGATGGGCAGCGAGCAGCCAGGTTATGAATCTCATTGACCTCAAGTATGCCTGCTGCGCGGCTCCCAACGCACTCTAAATGAAGTACTCATTTCTGAGCAATACCGCCGGGCACGCATTTTCAATGAGAGCATGCGCACGCTTGAATCCCTCATGAAGCACGACGCAGTCCTCTCTTAGTTGCATGGCCTCAGCGTGACTGCACTCCGCAGTCGCCTCCTCAGCAGCTTTGCCACACTGGCTCAGGCCATCTATGCGCGCTCTCTGTGACTCGATTTTCACAAGGAACCCGGCCGGAATCATATTTCCCGTCAAGCGCGTACCGCGCCCCGGCAAGCCGTCAGTCACAGAAACCCGCTGGCGATCGATGACAGTAGTCGCAGCGACATCGTCACTCGCAGCCGCAGCCGCTGCATCGGCCTTTTAAGCAGCCTCTGCCATCGCGCACTGCCACCGGATCCCTCCTCAATCACCCCGATCCGGCTCGAAGGACCACAAATGCTCGAGGCATGTACGTTAGCACACACTAGGCTCGGATAGGGTGATTAGGAAGACACAATAAAACACAATAAAATTAAACAGCATAAAAATAACAACGTTTAATATCACTCAAAGGCCAAGAAAAATCACAGTTAATATTCACAAAAATAGTAAAGGTAAAAATAATACATGTCTATAGTCTTAAAGCAATGAACTATTGAAATATATAAAAGCGAAGAATGTAGAAAAAAAAGAGTCAAGTTGAATAACACAATATGTAAACACGCACTGGCCTTGAGCTCGCAAGAGTGTTTGAAAGTTACACGAAATAAATGTGAAAATGAAAGCACCGATATAATATAACTGATTAAAATATTGATTAACGAAAAACGATTGTCTGTAGAAATGCACAATTACTGTCTGTAGAAATACACAAGAGTTTCACTGAGTCTTGCTGTTGATAATCACTGGTAGCTCGATGACATTAACTATTTGAGCTGGTCTGCAGATTATGCAGTGAGCAACTTAAACAAAGCACTAAGTGCACTTCACTGCACAACTGAGTTTTATCCACTTTATGGAGAGAGTTAATATGAAGATTTACACTAGAATTTAAGGTGATGTATGCACCTTTGAATGCTAGAGTTTGGCAACGTAAATTAAGAGAGTCTATCCTCGACGAGAGCTGAGTATAATCTGGCGCTTACAGTATACAAAGCTCGCCGCGTGAATACGCACACACTGACCTGCAGCGCGCCAAGTCGACCAAGCGCACACGCACAGAGCGTCGAGCCGACAGAGACTACAAGTGTACACAATGTACACAAAAGCCGGGCCTACTGTCGGTCGCTCTCATTTTCAACAGCATCTATACCATAATTGTTCTTACAACTGACAAAATTAATGACATTTTTGTAACTTTTGTATTGCTGTAGAGTACAATCCGTAAAGTTATAAATTTTATTTACTATACCAAACTTTTATTTCAAATGATTAATCACAATAGCATGATAAGTGAAGACACATACTGCATTATGGAGCAAACTATCAGAAATAACGACTATACTACTGTCACGACCGGTGACGTCTACCCATTGTCGGTAGGAAATACCATATGGTATTCGTCACCAAGCTACCGCACCCATAAATCGACACCAACGCACGCTCGGTCGATCGCGTGCTCACCAGCCATTCCTGCTCCCTTACCCTGACCCCGCCAAATTTAACAACTGGATTACGCCTGCAGCTGCACCTTTTTTCAAAGAATATGTTAATCAAATTAACCTCCACTTCTTAACTCACCACCGGTCCTACCCCCGATTATCGATCGGATTAAAGGTTTGAATAGAACCGCACCCTGCGAGCTCGTCTTCTTTCCTAGAGAATCCGTCGACCAACGAACAAGTAGCCAGCTTTAACTACAGCGAGTTATATTATTAAGCTTTTGATTGTCTAAATGATCCTTATAATATTTGTGGTTCAATAAAGCAAGTTTTGCTGATAATTCAATTGAGCTTCTCCATTCTTATAAAATATTTGTCACGAACTGCTTTCCATGAAGTAGTTCCACGGCCCGGAAACAGGCGATTGAGTTTTCTCTCCTGCTCTCTTGCTGTTATACCTCTTCTCACCGCCGTCTCTGAACCAAAAGGAGGTCCACGCCAAGCTCCCCGGGCTCTGGGAGAAAGGGGGAAAAACAATTAGGATTAATAGATTTAACGCGGGATCAAGGTTTAATCAAGCACTATATTCTCCTTTTCTTTTGTTACACAATACATTAATCGAGGGTGCCGGCGATTCAGCGGCCACGGCACCGACGTCGACCGCGATCGCGCGAGCACGTACACTTTTTCACCGGACTGACACCCATGTCCTACAGTATAAGTCCATACGCCTTTAGCCCCACCACCATCACACTCTGCCCTTAGGACAACAGAGAAAAAGACTTACCCGATAGTATAAATCTCACTAATGCTCCCAATATCAAGAAATTAGTGGCATCCTTATCGAAAATAATAGACGCGGAAATTGCAGCAAGCGTTTGTCAAGACGAATTAATGATTAATATCTTAAAGGATTTACTTACTTAAAATATTAATCCCTTGAAAATAATAACTGCTATTCAGCAAAAAGAAGCCATCGTCGACTTCAACCAAAAATTAGTCAACTTTTAACGAATGACATGGAAATTATCCATACATGAGAGCATCCCAGTTCATCAACCCTAATAGAACAATTTATAAATTGCGATTTCCACTAGGCAAAAATACAATCAAATCTACTAAAAACAAAATTACTAACACTTTAAGCATCGGCACACTTCTCAAAATTAGCGAAACACCAAAAAGTCACAACTTCTACAATTGAACTCACAATAATCACTACAGTTTTTTTAAAAAGCCCTTATCAAGCGTTCCTTTCCAAACTATAAATAGCTTATATAACATAAATAGTTGAACTCTGGCACCCATTCACAATTTTTCTATAAAAGACGCAATCGAAACGATACTATATTTAACGGGTTAAACATGCCACTCACAACCTTTTTAGACAGCTGCAGAGAAGTATGCCACGTAATCCCTAAAATAAGCGAATCTCATCCAGCAAAATTAATTAAAATGCGACTTTCAGGAGAAGCATTACTCTCCACTAAAAATAAGATTTTTGACACCATCGAAGAAATAGCAATGTTTTTCACAAACGTTTTTATAAAAACATGGCATCAAAGAATGGGCGAGCTAGTGGCGTTGAAACAAAAAAAAAAAGAATGTTATCTCCTTTTCTAAGAGAGTTAAAGGCACCGCCCAAGAATTAATTGAAGCAACTCTCCGTGAGGGTCGAATACATCAAGAATTCTATGCACAGCTAGAACAGGACAAAGTTAAATATCTAATAAAAGGGTTACACTGGGTAATAAAAGCACGCATGGGCCACGCTAATAACCTAGAAACTGCCACAACTCGAGTGATAGAACTTGAAAGAGACTTTCCATGTTATGAACCCGAACATCTACAAGAAACTGTAAGAATCATAACTGATAGACGAAGTCAAGATGCACGAATAAACTTAATCGAAACTCCAGAAAAATGCCAAATTTTGTAAAAGATGAGGGCACACAGCAGGCTATTCATGATATCGCTATAATACTAGTAAAGCCGACATTTGCCAAGCCACGCCCATCTACAATGCTACGCCATCCACCACCGAACTTCGTCCTAGCCACTCCCCTATACCGATATACATTTCCCCATATATAGTCCCCAAAAAAGGGCGTGTCATCGAGTCAACCATCACATAATAATCCTGTACCTCCATATCAATCTAAAAATTACATACCAAACCAATACACACAGCAACAAACTCTGAATTCAATTAATGATGATCGAAACAATCAAAAAACGTGCAACTATTGTAAAAAACTAGGTCACTGGAAAAGTAAATGTAAAAAAAGGCCTACAATGATAAAATCAAACAATAGGCATCGGGAAACGACTCAGATTTTTTCTAGAGGGGAAGCTTAGGAGAAGCCAGAAATGTAGCATGAACATCTTCCTAAAACAGACAATAGTCAATAAAACCATCTTACTAAACATAAAAATCCAAACACCTACCGTAACAATTAAATTCAGCGAAATCAATCGACCCTTATCGTTTATTTTTGACACCGGTGCGGAAGCATCGCTCATTAAAGAATCCGTCATTCTACCCAACATCATAATTTTTCAAGATACTATTCTGCACCTTAAATGCATAACGAACGGGAAAATTTAAACCCAACGGTACATCATTTTTAGCTTTCAAGAATGCTTCTTCGAATTTCACATCATAACAGATGAATTCCCCGTAGAAACATACGGCCTAACAGGAAATGAGATATTTTTTACTTATCAAGTACAAATTAATTATTATGAAAACTACTTAAAAGTAAAGAAATTACGTAATACTTATCGAAACCAGAACAAATAACACAAGGCATTCCCAAAAACAGCGTGGAAATTCCATTGTACGCACAAGTATTCCATATAACATCTTACGCGTTAAAGAGACAAAGCACTCTCACTCAGAACCTTTGAGAACTGAACGATCCGAACTCTCCAATAACCAAGAAATAAGAACTTCTGAATTATCAAAGGTACCCGAGATCCAAAATCATGGAATTGAAAATGATACCCAAAAGCCGAAATCCGAAATCATAAAATAAGAAATAAAATCCCAAAAACTGAAATTCAAGATTATGAAATAAAAAATAATACTCCAAAAGCAGAAATCTGAAATGACGAAATAAAAGCTAACATTACAATCACCAAAATCCGAAATTTAAAAGCAAGAAACTATTCTACGAACGCCAAAATCCGAAATTCAGATAGAAAAACTTCTGCAATAAACTCCAAAATTCGAAATTCAAAGAATTAGGATTCAAACAACCATAACACAAAAATAAAAAACTTTAAACTCAACAACAGTCAAGTATCTATATTCAAAAATCAAAAAAATTCTAACCTTAAAAAAAAATATTGCAAAACTGCCGAAAATTGCAAAAGCATCGAAGCTGAGAA